AAAGGACAGTGGTTTGGGGGTTTTATTTTTTTGGCATATTTCGCAATTTTGTACAAAGGTGGTCACATCTTTTCTAATTGTCTTCCAAGTGAAATTCTGACTGATGCGTAGCAAGGTGCCCTTGATACCCGAATGTCCCCCTTGCACTGAAGAATGCAAAACGTGCAGGAGTTGGGGAATTAATTGTGAGTTGGAAGGCAAAAAGAGTCGCTGCCGATGGAATAACAGATTATCTTGTAATCTCCATTGTGGCAGTGAGGAAGGATTAGTACCAATGGTGTGCATAATGGATGAGGCATAAGGATCACAGATAAGTTCAGACTAAAGAGTGGTACGGTAGTTGTTGGTTGGAACAGTCAGGGCACCTAAAAATGGAGTAGCTTCGGCTGAGTGAGCATCCAGATGACGGGATAAAGCGTCAGCCACTATGTTGGAACGACCCGATTTGTGGATGATAGTATAATTGAACCCGAGCAGCTTGGAGAGAAACTGTTGTTGCTCAGGAGTCTAAATCACCTGGTTCATCATGTTGTGTAAACTCTGATGATCAGTGCAGATAGTGAATGGGACCCCAAGAAGGTATTGACGCCACTTTGCTACCGCAGAGGTAATAACAAACATTTCTCTGATGTATGTGGATTCACCCTGCATAGTAGGAGATAATTTGCGGCTGTAAAATGCAATGGGATGACCCTTCTGTAAGAGGACAGCCCCAATCCCTACACCCTAAGCATCGGTTTCAATGATGAAGGGTTCTTGGAAGTTGGGTAAAACCAAGATAGGAGCTGATGTGAGCTGTTTTTTGAGTTCGTGAAAAGCCTTCTGTGCCTCAGGTGACCAACAGTAACCATCCTTTGTGAGTAAATCAGTAAGAGGACTTTCTATTTGGGCATGATGCTTGATAAATCTCCTGGAGTAGCCGAAAAGGCCCAAGAATGCACGCACTTGGGTGACCGAAGTAGAGGGAGGTCAATCTGCTATTGCTTGAAGCTTCTGTGGATCGGGTGAAACGCCTTGGCCTGAAATAACATGTCCAAGGAAGTGAATGGTGTGCTGGAAAAGCATGCATTTGGACAACTTGGCATAGAAGGAGTGTTGTTTGAGGGTACTGAGCACAACACTTAAGTGTTGGATATGATCCAGCAGGTTACTATTATACACCAAAATATCATCAAAAAAATAACCACAAAGCGGAGAAGATAGGAGGAGAACACCTCATTCATGGTTGACTGGAATGTGGATGGGGCGTTGGAGAGGCCGAACGGCATTACCAAAAATTCGTAATGGCCATGGTGAGTTCGAAAGGCAGTTTTATGAATATCCCCTGTGGCCATCCGTATCTAGTGGTAGCCAGACCGCAAGTTCAGTTTGGAAAAAATAATTGCACCATGTAATTCATCCAGAAGCTCATCGATGGTGGGAATGGGGAATTTATCTCTGACCGTCACTGCATTGAGGGCCCTATAATCCACACAAAAACGCCAAGTGTCGTCTTTCTTTTTCACCAAAAGAACCGGGGAGGTGAAAGCGAATTGGCTGTGTCGAATGAGTCCGGTACGTAGCATTTCATTTACCAATTTTTCAATTTCATTTTTTTGGTAATGGGGGTAACGGTAAGGTCTAACCTGTATTGGTTTTGTATCTGGTTCCAGGTTAATGTGGTGATTATGGTTTCGGTTTGGAGGAAGGTCCACTCGTTCTGTAAAAACATCTGAAAACTGGGTGAGCAGGTTTTGAGTTTCGGTGGTGTAATTGATATCCGAAGGTAAGGGTTGCGGGTGGGTTTCTGTTTGGAAACACATTAAGCATGCGTGTATGGACTTTTGGGTAACTAACTTGTGTAATTGGGCAGGTGAGATTGGGTCAGCTTGGAATGGTGTGTCTCCACGAAGGGTGAGAGGAACCTGCTGGTGATTAAAAGTCATGGTGAGGTCATGATAGTCAGTGATGACAGGACCCAAAGTAGCCAACCAGTGAACACCAAGGACCATGTCTGCTCCTTTTAGTTCCAGCACAAAAAGATCAACATGGAATAAATGGTTTTGAATCCAAATTGGTGTGTTGGAGCACATGGCCGAACATATGAGATGGTCTCCATTCCCAACTTGCACCGTGAAGGGTGGGTTAGACAGCAAAAACAAATTGAGGAAACATGCCATGCGTGGAGTAATGAAGTTGTGAGTACTTTCGCCATCTATTAAAATGTGGGTGACATGTCCATCAATCATCCCTTGCAAACGAAAGGATCTAGCCGAATGGGTGCCAAACAAAGCATTAAAGCTTATTTCTGGTGTGACCGCCTCATCTAATATCTGTTCTACTGGCTCTATTAAATCAGGAGGATCCGGATCATCGTCCATGCCTTCCAAATAGAGGGGCCTTTGCACTTATGACCAAAGGTGTACCTCTCATCACAGTTATAACAGAGATTTTTATCTCTTTTTGCTTGTCTTTCCTCTGGAGATAACCGACGGATAGGTAAGGCTGACAGGGGTTTAGGAAGGATGGGTGTGGTTGTGTTAGGAAGCAATTTGGGATCTGTGGGTATTAGTGGTACAGAAGAAGGTTTGTTGGAATTGAACCACGGTTTGGGAGATCTTTCATCTGTAAACTGATCTTCATAAAGTCGAGCAAGAGCAAAAGCCTCATGGAAATCCTGCGGTCTGTGGGTCAGTACCAGGCGTCGAATTTTGGGTTTAAGTCCTGAAATGAATATGCTGCGTAACATTGGAACTGAGATCTGTAACATCCCCGTCTCGAGCCGGTTCAATTAACATACATATGATAAAACAGAAAACAGCGGAAGACTTAACTTATGAAAATACGAGCTAACTTTTTTCTTTTTCTTTTTAAATTCTCTTTCGTCGTAAACGAAAATCGAGCAGAGTTTCCTCTATAAATCGGACAACTGGGGATTTTCCAATCCCACTCTCAAGAGTTCCTGATAGACAATTTAAACAATATATATTTCCAGAAGTACCAGTCATGCAAATATACTCAGATACCCATCTATGGGCGCATGCTGAACTTGGCTCCGTGCCACAAATCTAATAGCATGCAATCCAATACATAACATAACTGAATGCCCATCCATGGGCGCATGCATGACTTGGCTCAGAAATTGTATCTCAGAAAGCCAGAATTCGCACTTTGACGGTTTAGCATACAACTGATGCTCTCTCAAAATCTGCAAAACAACCTTTAGATGCTCAGAATGCTCTTCTTTACTCTTCGAATATATCAGTATGTCATCAATAAAGACAACCACAAATTGATCCAGATAGGCTTTAAAGATCCGATTCATATAACTCATAAAAACGGCTGGTGCATTCGTAAGCCCAAAAGGAATAACCAGGTACTCGTAATGCCCATATCAGGACCTGAAAGCTGTCTTCGGAACATCATCCGACTTTATCCGGATTTGATGATACCCGGACCGAAGATCAATCTTAGAAAATATAGTCGCACCACGCAACTGATCCAACAAATCGTCTATACAGGGCAAAGGATACTTATTCTTGACAGTAACCTTGTTCCACTGCCGGTAATCTGTACACAATCTTATAGACTCGTCCTTCTTCTTAACAAAGATCACCGGGACTCTCCACGGAGATACACTCCGTCTGATAAAATTCTTACTAGACAAGTCTTCGATCTGCTTCTTCAATTCAGATAATTCCAGAGGTGACATCCGGTATGGGGCAAGAGAGATAGGCCCCACGCCAGGTAACAAGTCAATTGTAAATTCAATTTCCTTCTCTGACGAAAATTCGAAATTTCATCCTTATCACAGTCAAATCGAATGCTTCATTATTAATTCAAGCTCTTTCTGCCTAGTTGCAGTCCAAGTCTGCTGTAGTGCAGCCAAAATCGCTACAACATGATCCGGTGGTGGATCATGATTATTAAATGTTCTACGAGTTCTCCTTGGAGGAACCATATCTCTGCATATATTACACTAAGGAATGAGTTAGCTACGCTCACACTCAGTGATCACACATGCATTATACAGCACTGCAAGAAAACACTCAAAAACTTCCAACTTCAAATATCTTATGCTATATATCATGTAACTCCCTAGAGCAACTGCTCTGATACCATAAATGTACATGTATCGAATATGAACACTATGCAACAATACATCTTTTTCAAAAATACGTCTAAAACAAATAGTAGCATCCGACCACCCAGAACTCCACATCCTCATACTAGTACCTCTAGCCACGGTTAGTGTCCTTGTCCCATGAGGTTCTTCAATTAACTGTGTTCCTGAAATCATATCCCCAAACGGGGTTAGAGACGAATCTCTAGTAAACTCCAGGTTTATGGAAAACCCTCCATACCCTGGGCTCACTTCCTGCATGACAGTCAGATACATAATATACAAAACATCATATAAGCAATTATCATAACTGAACAAAGCATATATACATATCTTATCAAAGACAAACGCAGTCATTCCCAAGGGATGACCCCAAGCGAAAATCAACGCACGTAACAAATATCTTTTACAAAAATCATCACAATACTCACATCAGAACAAAACGTGTTATATCAAAGATGTACGCAATCGTTCCCAAGGGATGACCCCAAGCGGAAATCAACGTACGTAACAAATATCATTTACAAAATCATCATACATATCCCATAAAACATGTCATATAATCAAATATCATAACTAAACAAAACATATACACATATCTTATCAGAAACGTACGCAGATATTCCCAAGGAAGGAGCCCAAGCGGAAATCAACGCACGTGTTCCCAAGGGAGGACCCCAAGCGGAACCAGAACATATCAGAGGCGTACGCAGTCATTCCCAAGGGAGGACCCCAAGCGGAAATCAACGCACGTGTTCCCGAGGGAGGACCCCAAAGCGGAACCAGAACATATCAGAGGCGTACGCAGTCATTCCCAAGGGAGGACCCCAAGCGGAAATCAACGCACATGTTCCCGAGGGAGGACCCCAAAGCGGAACCAGAACATATCAGAGGCGTACGCAGTCATTCCCAAGGGAGGACCCCAAGCGGAAATCAACGCACGTGTTCCCGAGGGAGGACCCCAAAGCGGAACCAGAACATATCAGAGGCGTACACCATCAGTCCCGAGGGAGGACCCCAAAGCGAACATCCGGGTACTATACAATCAATGGCCAGATATTGTTACAGAAATCATATTACAGAAGTCATATCATAACAAAACATATCATATTAACACATATCAAAGTAAATACATCAAAACAAAACATATCATATTATCATATAGCTCTATATGAATGCATCTATATCATATATCTCATACATATCATACAACCTGACCACAGTCCGTACACTATGGCGGAACACAAAGTAGGAGCGAACCCCATAAACATAGAGCTTACCTCTTTGAGCTTTACAATCTGCTTACTTGAAGAACAAGCTACTTATCATACTCCACGAGAATCCAAACGTTCACAGTCCCTAGGTACACCTAGCGAAGGAATTCAACATAAAATTCAATAAAATGATATAATGCCATGTAAATATACAAGACACACACTTTATTGTTTATTTTCTTTTTACTTAATCATATTAAGTCATGAGCGGGTGGTTCTTTGTTCAACAAATCCCCACAAAATTCCACATATTCACTTAGTCTTAGGATAGTCCCAAAAGGCCTTTAGAACACTCATTACTCCTCTTAGCACCTAAAAGCTTATTTTTCCCAATTTAAGGCTGAATGCCCATTACAAAGGAGCTATAAGATTTCTCTTTGTCTAGTGCCTAAACCCAAGCTTAGCCACCTATATAAATTATTTTACGCATATAAGTGTCCTCACTTTGCGAAACAATATCTCCGAACATATACCTCATTTGAAAATGGCCAAAACTCATTTTAAGGCCATACAAAGGAGCTACCTTATTTTCTTTTTTATTTCACCAAAGCGAAGGTCCATACACCTTAGAATATCATTCCACGCATAAAAGTATGCTCTCTTTGTAAAACAGTAACTCATAGCACATACTTCCTTTGAAAATGGCTAAGAGGCACATAAAGGAAATCATGCCAACTTCATGATTTCAATGCTTTACTCCATCAAATTCAAGCTTATCACACACCTCTAATCCAAGATTCGTTAATTGATATATACGACACTGTTCATCTCTACAATACTATTCATGTTTGCGTCACTATTCACGTATACGACACTATTCAAAAATACGGTATTTTTAATTTTCCAAAATACATTTTCACCGTTAAAATTCTCATCTAAACACTTTTCTCAACATGAGCTAAACCTGAATTAAGCTCTAACATGCTCAATCAATCCAAATTTTTAAAATGAAAACATATATTCAATCTTTCTCAAAACTCAAAGAAAACAAAGATTTCTTAACATGAACTTACCTAGAATGAAGGGAGAAGCTTGCTTCAAGCTCCCATGGCTTCAAGCTCCATCAAAACCCATATTTTCCATGAAATTCGAATTCTTTGGGGGAGAAGATCTCTCTCTACAGTGAACCCCACTCAGAAATACTGGTACCAATAGATTCCTCTCGAAATTTCTCACAGCTTTGGCTTTGGAACGGAGTGATTTGGAGGTCTCTAGCTCAAGTTATGAATTTTGGAAGAATTTTAATCAAAATCTCCATTTTCATTTTCTTTCCTTCGTTCTCTCTGTCTCGCGTCCGTAAAGAGAAGGGAACAGTGACTCCCTTGAGTCTCTTATATAAATTCATTATACTAGCGGGTATAAGCTCATCTATCTACACACCTGCATTCATTACCAAACTTTAACCAATAGACTAGAATATTTTTCTAGTCACGTTTCTATTTTTACTTTCACTTTTAGATAACTTTATTTACCCGCATTTTTTACCTCTTAACTGTCATTTTAACTCATTTTTCACCAAAAGTGACTTTATTTCTTTTTCTTTGTAATTATCCTTCAATATTAAATCCATGATAGATGTGAGGGTCATTATATTCACCCCACCTTTTAAGGATTTTGCCCCCAAAATCACACAAATAACATAACACATACCTGACGTCAAACTCAGGATAACGCTGGAGAATATCATTCTCTCGCTCTCAAGTAGCATCCTCAGAAGTCAAACTTTCCCATTGTATCTTAACCCATTGTATCTTAACCATAAGAATAACAATGTTCCTCAATACTTTCTCATCGCGAACCAGAACTTTCAGTGGTCCCACAACAAACTTCAAATCTTACTTTACCTCATTATCGTCGTGTTGAACAATGTGGGACACATCAGATACATCTCTACAAAGTTGACTGATGCGAAAAACATCATGCAAATTAGACAAATGTGGAGGTAAGGCAAGCTGATACGCCACAGGTCCGACCCTCTTTATTATCTGGTGGGGCCTTATGAACCTAGGAATTAACTTCCTCACACCTAGAGCACGCCTAAACCTGTAGTCGGAGACAAACTAATAAACACACGATTCCCTTCATAAAATTCAAAGGGTTTATGTTTCTCAATCTCTTTTACATATAATCGAGCCAACTGCTCAATAGAGCAACTCATCTTGACTGGAATGAAATATGCATACTTAATCAATCTGCCTACCACAACTCACATAAAATCAAAACCAGCCTAAGTTCTCGGCAATGCTACTACAAAATTCATAGAAATACTAACCCACTTCTATTCTGGAATATTCAAGGGCTGCAGTAATCCATAGGGCTTCTCATTCTCAAATTTATATTCGTCATTTTATTTCTCTGAGCTCATTTAAGTTCACTTTTATTCCCTAAGGAACAGTAATAACAATTCACAGTTGGGTTTCTGCACTGTTTTTAACGAAGTGCCCTGTGAATTACAAACTGTGCACTGTTTGCACGCAAAATCGTAAAATTTCTAAACTTATCATTTTTGGTCTAAACATGACTTGTTTAGCATATAATGGACTTACTTATTACATCCATCTTCTTACTGAAAATATAATTCCACTAAAACATCAATGTATCAGTCTTTCTACTGATAATATAATTTACAATTTATTGTACATCAGTCCTTGCACTGATAATACAATTTACAATTTCATTGTACACCAGTCCTTACACTGATAATACAATTTACAAATTTTAATGACCAGGGAAACTGCACTCTATGAATTACACAAGGAATATCCTTGATACATGCTAAATGCAAAACATCACATCATAACTAATACTCTGGTTAACTATTCAAGGGCTCTCCCCAAGAATAGCTAACTGACATGTCTCACATGTCTAGTGTGACTCCCAGGGTCAAGCCATAGGCAATCAACACAAACTGTACACAAACTGTAGTATGAAAATAACTCCCAAGGTCAAAGCCATAGGCAGCCAACATACCAAGGTCACTGACAAGGATTCTCATAACATATATCATCATTACATCAAAAATCATATAATATTTATGTGAGTTGTGGTAGGCAGATTGATTAAGTATGCATATTTCATTCAGTCAAGATGAGTTGCTCTATTGAGCAGTTGGCTCGATTATATGTAAAAGAGATTGAGAAACATAAACCCTTTGAATTTTATGAAGGGAATCATGTGTTTATTAGTTTGCCTCCGACTACAGGTTTAGGCGTGCTCTAGGTGTGAGGAAGTTAAGTCCTAGGTTCATAGGCCCCACCAGATAATTTCTGGGCCATGTCACTTCATCTGAAGGAGTGGCAATGGACCCGAGTAAGATTGAAGCAGTGTTAGATTGGGAGCGTCCTAAAAATATTACAGAAATCAGGAGTTTTCTTGGTTTGACTGGGTATTACAGGTGTTTTATTGAGGGATTCTCACGGATGGTACTACCTTTGACACGGTTAACCCGTAAGGGGAACCCATTTGTGTGGACCCAAGAATGTGAAGTGAGTTTTCAGGAGTTAAAAAGGAAGTTGACTACAGCTCCGGTATTGATATTGCCGGATCCTACCAGTAAATTTGTGGTGTATTGTGATGCTTCTAAGTTTGGGTTAGGCTGTATTTTAATGCAGTTTCGTCAGGTGGTTGCTTATGCTTCTCGGCAGTTAAAGCCGCATGAGAAGAACTATCCGACACACGATCTTGAGTTGGCAGCCGTAGTGTTCGCATTGAGAAACTGGCGACACTTTCTATACGGGGGCCGATTTCATTGTCTACAATGACCACAAAAGTTTGAAGTATCTGTTTGATCAGAAAGAGCTGAATATGAGGCAACGCCGATGGGTGGAATTCCTGAAGGATTATGATTTTGAATTGCAATATCACCCCGGTAAGGCTAATGTAGTAGCAGATGCTTTAAGCAGAAAGACGCTTGGTATGGCCAATTTGATGATTTCTGAGTATAATTTGATTGAGAAATTCAGGGATCTCTGCATTCCTGTGAATACCGAGGATAGTCTGCATTTATTGACTACTACGGTAGTCCAGAACTCATTAGTTGAGCGGATCAAAGAAGCTCAATTGCTTGATGAAGAGATTCAGTCCATGAAAGAACAGGACTTTGTGTCCACTGATAGGTTCGGTCTTAAATTTTACAAAGATCGGATCATTGTTCCGAAGGGTCAAATGGTAGATGAGGTGTTGGCTGAGGGCCATATGGGTAAGTACATTATCCATCCTATTGCTACCAAGATGTATCAGGCCATGAAACCAAAATTTCTGGTGGTCTGGTATGAAGAAAGATATTGTTCAGTTTATGAATAAGTGTTTGATATGTTGTATATGGGCATTGGATTATAATTGTATAAACTGTTTATTAGGAAATGCATCTGAGTGGGATTGGAAAATCCCCAGTTGTCTGATTTATAGAGGAAACTCTGCCAGATTTTCGTTTACGACAAAAGAGAATTTAAAAAGAAAAAGAAAAAGTTAGCTCGTATTTTCATAAGTTAAGTCTTCCGTTGTTTTCTGTTTTATCATATGTATGTTAATTGAACCGGCTCGAGACGGGGAGGTTACATTTAATGATACAAACAGAAACAGCGGAAGACTTAACTTACGAAAATACGAACTAACTTTTTCTTTTTCTTTAATCCTTTTTCACATGAAATATCACATTGCATACTTCTTCTAATTTAATTCTTATTTTACGGAGACGAAAATCGGACAGAGTAACCTCTGTAAATTGGACAACCGGGGATTTTCCAATCCCACTCTCAAGAGTTCCTGATAGACAGTTTAAACAATATATATTTCCAGAAGTACCAGTCATGCGAATATACTCAGATACCCATCTATGGGCGCATGCTGAACTTGGCTCCGTGCCACAAATCTAATAGCATGCAATCCAATACATAACATAACTGAATATTACATAGTCATATCATCATGCCTGAATACATAAATGTACATGTATCGAATATGAACACTATGCAACAATACATCTTTTCTAAAAATACGTCTAAAACAAATAGTAGCATCCGACCACCCAGAACTCCACATCCTCATACTAGTACCTCTAGCCACGGTTAGTGTCCTTGTCCCATGAGTTTCTTCAATTAACTGTGTTCCTGAAATCATATCCCCAAACGGGGTTAGAGACGAATCTCTAGTAAACTCCAGGTTTATGGAAAACCCTCCATACCCTGGGCTCACTTCCTGCATGACAGTCAGATACATAATATACAAAACATCATACAAGCAATTATCATAACTGAACAAAGCATATATACATATCTTATCAAAGACAAACGCAGTCATTCCCAAGGGATGACCCCAAGCGAAAATCAACGCACGTAACAAATATCTTTTACAAAAATCATCACAATACTCACATCAGAACAAAACGTGTTATATCAAAGATGTACGCAATCGTTCCCAAGGGATGACCCCAAGCGGAAATCAACGTACGTAACAAATATCATTTACAAAATCATCATACATATCCCATAAAACATGTCATATAATCAAATATCATAACTAAACAAAACATATACACATATCTTATCAGAAACGTACGCAGATATTCCCAAGGAAGGAGCCCAAGCGGAAATCAACGCACGTGTTCCCAAGGGAGGACCCCAAGCGGAACCAGAACATATCAGAGGCGTACGCAGTCATTCCCAAGGGAGGACCCCAAGCGGAACCAGAACATATCAGAGGCGTACGCAGTCATTCCCAAGGGAGGACCCCAAGCGAAAATCAACGCACGTGTTCCTGAGGGAAGACCCCAAAGCGGAACCAGAACATATCAGAGGCGTACACCATCAGTCCCGAGGGAGGACCCCAAAGCGAACATCCGGGTACTATACAATCAATGGCCATATATTGTTACAGAAATCATATTACAGAAGTCATATCATAACAAAACATATCATATTAACACATATCAAAGTAAATACATCAAAACAAAACATATCATATTATCATATAGCTCTATATGAATGCATCTATATCATATATCTCATACATATCATACAACCTGACCACAGTCCGTACACTATGGCGGAACACAAAGTAGGAGCGAACCCCATAAACATAGAGCTTACCTCTTTGAGCTTTACAATCTGCTTACTTGAAGAACAAGCTACTTATCATACTCCACGAGAGTCCAAACGTTCACAGTCCC